ACATCATTATCCTCCCTGGGGATCCATTTACATGAATTATTTCATCAAAGAGCATTCAGAACTTTTTCTTTTCAAATAAGAAAGTTTTGTTCTCTATAAATCTAAAATCATTGTGAAAAAGATTGAGATTTTCTGTTTCAACAAAATACGTACAGGAATCTATTAATCACAAAAAGTGAAGTTTCTTCATGCTCCTTCTATGGTGACACTGAACAGCAGAAAGATTTTATCTATTTATGGACATGAAGGCTAGCATTATACATTACACATACTAAATTAACACAGGATCAGGAAAATAGATTTTAAACATGAAATTATAGAATGTTCAGTAGGTAACTAGGTTCTAATAATAAACTGATTCTAACTCCCCCTTTTTTTTTTTGTGGGGAAGATCAGCCCTGAGCTAACATCCATGCCAATCCTCCTCTTTTTGCTGAGGAAGACTGGCCCTGAGCTAACATCCGCACCCATCTTCCTCCACTTTATGTGGGATGCCACCACAGCATGGCCTGACTAGCGGTTCGTCGGTGCACACCCGGGATCCGAACCCAGGCTGCCAGCAGCAGAGCACGCGCACGCAGCTGCTATGCCACGAGGCCAGCCCCGTGATTCTAACTTCTTAGCATGTTTCTAGTTTAGTTTTATAGACTTGAATACCATGGAGAGGGCAACCAACTTGTAGAAATTGTTGTGGGCAGGGCTTGCTTTACACTATGAATGAGTTTTCAGTTCTAAGTTATAAATAAAGTCTACACAATAATCAGGTATGTGGTGAGCCATAAATTAAATAGCATCTTCCATTTAAACATCTATTGTGTCTATACTAGGCAACGTGCCGGGTGCTATAAGGAACTTAGCACACATTGACACATAGATCATATAGAAGCAAGCATAGGTTTACATGATGCTCAGCTCATCTAAGAGTTCAAAAAGGCCATCTAGGATAACTTCTCATACCTATAAATGAGAGGCCTACATTCTGTCCACCTTACAGGGCAGACTGAGATAAGAAGGTTAATAAATTCTTAAGATCATCCCACTAGTGACTCCATAAGACATTTTTTAAAAATCAATTTTACTGAGATATACTTACAAAAAATAAAATGCACCCATTTTAAGTGTGTAGTTTGATGAGCTGTGAAAAATGTATACACCCAAGTAACTACCATCACGATCAACACATAGAACACTTACACCATTACAAAAAATTCCCTCACGCCCCTTTACAGTCAATCCCCAACCCCATCCCCTGTCAATCACCAATGGGCTGTCTGTCGCTATAGCTAAGTTTTGACCATTCTAGAATTTCATATAAATAGAATCAGACAGCATATAGTCTTTTCTGTCTGGTTTTTCACACAACATAAGGCTTTTTGAGATTCACTCATGTTGCTGCATGTATTGGTAGTTCATTTCTTAGAGTAGTATTCCACTGCATAGATATAATTTGTTTATTCACTCACAGGTAGATGGATATTTGAGTTCTGATTTTTGGTTATTATAAATAAGACTAATATGAACTTCTATGTACACGTCTTTATGTGGACATATGTTTTTATTTCCCTTGGGTAAACGCCTAGGCGCAGAGTTGCTGAGTCTTAAATGCATGCTTGACTTGATTAAAAAAAAAAAACCTGCCAAGTTGTTTACCAAAGCAGTCATATCATTTTTACATTCCCACCAGCAAAGTATGAGAGCTCAAATTGCTCCATGTTCTTGCTAACACTTGGTATTGTCAGTCTTTTTAATTTTAGCCATTGTCAAAAAGAAAAAGTGGAAATCAGTGCTTTAAGAATGCTAATCAACAGAAGCATGTCAGTATGTGAGCATTTGCACCATTCAAGAAGCCAGTCAGGAAGTCCAATGAGAAACACTCAAATTCTATCCCAAGATGAATGAACTGGAGAGATTATTTTTCTCCTTACATAATCACAGCTAAATAACCCAAGAAAGACCATCTAATTCCCCCTGCTCTAGCACCTTTAGGGATTCCTCCAGAGGATATACAATCCACTCTGAAAATAATAAGTCTTGTGGCCACAGGCCTCAACCTCTCAAATTATAAATTCTGCTAGACACTGGGGGAAAAAAATTCACACAAAGAAACATTAGTAAAAGACATTGGATATATAAAACACCCATGCTTACATGCATATATTGGCAAGCTTTCAAAGCTATGGTACTCTTCCTTTTTTAAAAAAAAATTTAACTCTTTATGCTGTTTGAAAAGTGGTTAAAAATTATTTGCAGACCTTGCCTTAATTTGGACAAATTTTGCCTGTTCAAAATGGATAGCTGGTTTTCATCAACCAAACCACAAGAGTTGAAGAACTTGGCCTCCCAGAAAGCGTAGGTGGTTCACACTAACAGCAGGAGGGAGGCTGTCATTCCAGGGCTCTTCTTTCACCCCAAGGCCTCTTATGTGAGCTGAGCCACAAAAGGTCATCCTTAGACCACATAGGAGAAGGAGAAACTCAAAATCAGCTCAGTCTGTGAATGAAGCTGCCATTCTCCCTGCCTGGAATGCCCTCTGCACCCAGCGCATCCTCTTTTCAGAACCAGTGAGGCCCTACTCTCCTCGCAGCTCTGGGTTCCCCCGACCAGGCCAAATTCTCCTCACACATGCTTTCACATCACTATATTTTTCCTTTTAACCTTTCACAGTTAATAACCATGTTTATAATTACTAAGTAACTTATTAATGTCTACTGCTCCTTCCCCACCAAACAAGGTAAGCTTCATGAGTTTTTCTCATAACTGAGCCCCCAGCACCAAGAATGCTTAGCACATAAAAGAGTACTTAACAAATATTTACTAATGATTCACTTGTTAATTAAAACAGGACCTTTTCAGAGATGTAACTGATATGCCTCTAAGCTTCATATAAGTTAGAAAATAAAGGCGGCTGCTTCTTTCTCAGTTATAATAAAAATCAAACTGCAAAAAACTTGGGTGTCAAAGTTGCCTGGCCTTCTCCTGCTGCAATTTCCATTAAATCATCTGCTTAAATGTCAGATCTACTTTATTAACCCAACCTCTCAAAATTCAAATTTATGAAAAGGATGAAGACTTTCAGAACAAAAGCCTCTCCTCCATTAGAATACAACACAACTCTCGTAGTTTCCGACTTTAAACCTGAAGGTCTTGGAGGAAATGTGGTTGTCCCAATAAGTCCCAGGTCATTATCTTCTGTGGCAGGGGAAACGGTTATGCTATTTCACTGAGATGAGGCAGTTAGAGGCCCCATATCACTCTCGCAGACTTCATGATCAGAAATAAGGGAGAAGCGGGTGAAGGGGTGGACAAAATGGGTAAAGGGGCACATGTGTACAGTGATGGGTGGCAACTAGACTTTTGGTGGGGAACATGATGTTGTCTATCTAGAAGGCGAAATATAATGATGTACACCTGAAATTTATACAATGCTATAAATCAGTGTTACCTCAACAACAACAAAAAAGACATAGGCTGACAATAGCATATACTTAAAATGCAAACAAAACTGCCCTCTTTTTCAGTTATAGATATGTACTAGGCAAAATTCTAGAGAATTCTAGACCACACACGTTTTCTTCAATGACCTGTCTACAAGAAATCTCAATACGACATTGAGAGAATAGAGCTTAATAAAATTAGAATCACACTATATGTCTATGCTCAGCCCACGTTCAGCGCAGACCAAACACAAAACAAAATTTATTGTAATGCATTCTATTCATTATTCAAACAAGTAAAAACTCTAGAATCTAAACTTAAGAATATGAAAATACTTTTAAGACCTGCATCTCATTAACAAAGTGTTAGGAAGGCCTTAGGAAAGGCTACTTCTTTCTTTCACTTAGTCATTAGATATTAACTGAGCTCCTATTACACGCCAAGCACTGCCTGGTACACTAAAGGAATGGAAATGTCCTCCAACAATAACCAGATTTTATTAACCTAATTCTTATTTCGAATTAAGAAAGAGAGACAAATACTTCAAAGTCTCTTCTCATACTCATTTAAATAAAAGCTTTCTTCTAACCACTGAAAAGGCGTTCTTACCAAAGGGCTGTGTTCTCATTTCATTTTGAACTAAGATACAGTCTTATTATGATCTTGAAATGTTCTTTCCAGAAAAAAGCTATCTCCACACTGAAATAAATCTGATAAACTTCAATGAACAGAGGGTTAATTTTTTTAAAAAGCTAAAAACAGGTCCAAAAATAAAGTTTTCTTCCCAAGCCACAATTGAAGGAAATAAAAGATGAATGAAAGTAAGCTTAATTCTTTCATTGCTCAGTTACAAGAAATATTTATCAAGAGTATTACAAATGCCCCAGGTATTCAGATTAGCATCACCCATAACACCATGGAAAACTTATCCAAGTTTTATCTCAAAAAACTTGGTATGAATCCACAGTAAATCCCACAGATCTCCTACAATCACAAACAGAAAGAGGAAAAAATAATCCAACAAAATTCTAAGCTTAATAATACAGATGCTTTTCCTGACAAGGAACGGCTGTCAGCAAAGCAGTGATTTGTGAGCTGAGCTGACTTGCTCACATGCCATAAGGTGTCGATATTTATCGAAACAAACCATAACTGATTATTGGCAACTGTTGAGAAAAAGAAAGCCAATGAAACTCAGGCAACTAGTAATGACAATTATCCAAATACCAAGAATTAGTCCAAAACAAAAATCTCAGAGGATAGCCCACTTTCTGTCGATGTCCTAGTGAAGGAAAGTACAAACAAATGTGTCTGCCAAACACTCTACAGAAGCTCTTCATGAATTGGAAAATACATTAAAACTGAACTTCATTACCTTACTCTTACAAAGCAACCTCAAAAGTAGAGGTAAATAAGGATCAGAGAAGACAACAGAGAAACAGGATATAGGAGTGGAAGAGTAGATGTGTACAAAAGCTGGGGTACATAACCTTCTTAGATACCTTAGAATTAACTGTTTTAAAATAGAAGTCGTTTTAATAATATTAATATCTGGTTTTCATTACCTGACAGGCAGATATAAGTTAAGTATTCGCCTTGACCCCCAGTTGCCAAGAAAGGAATCTTTTTCTTTGTCCTCCTCTTGACTTGGACAGCTCCCAGCATCCTTTCATCAAGAGGTGCAAAAATCTCCTTGCTGATGGCAGATTTGGCACTCATTGTAGAACAAGCGAGGAGGGCACGCAGTGAGTTTTCTAAAGAAGAAAAAGAAAAGGCAATTTGGAATTGACAATATGGTAAGGGTCCAAATAAGAATGAACAGCAAGTTGATTTGCAGGTGAAGAAATTTTTCATTTGTGGTTTAGCCTTTCGCCTGCTTGAAAGGCACTACAGAATCATTAAAAGCAAGGTCTTCACATTTGTATTAACTATGAAACAATACAAACCAAAAGAGAATACTGATCTACTCACTGAAAAATGTGAAATACAATGTGAGATGAGTAGCACAAAATGGGATCTAGAAAGTGTGCCAGTCTCTACTCTAACTGCTCCTAACTCTGACTGACAAGCAGTACCCACCCCCACTCCTATTCTGTAAGGAACATGATTTCACATTTCCAGTTGAGAAGACTTTCCACCATCCAACAATCCTTAAAGTCAAGAAATTCTTTATGCAACTTCAAAATCTCCTTTAACTGTAAGTAAATCCATTTTCCTAATTCTATTTAAAGTGGAAATAATTATATCATCTACATAAGAAGTACACACGCAACAGAAGATCATTAATTTAATCACCTTCAGCTGCTTTGGATCAGGCTAAGTAATTTTAATCCTTATTTATTAGCCTCTTTCAATGGGTCCTATTTTCCAGAGCTTCTCTGTATCTAGCCACGCTCTGGACCATTGCCAAATTCTCCACATTTTCCTTCAGCCAAAATGGACACAGAATTCTAAAAGAGTGTCTGACTAATGTTAAGTGTTTTGGAAATGTTACCCAGCAGTTCCCCCATGTTATGCTCCTGTGGTTAACTGACAGTGTGTGCCCAATAATTTAGAAAATAAAGCAGTATGTTGCTGACTCACAATGAGTTCCCCCCTCACCTCCATCCAAACTCAGATACACACAGTCCCCATGTTATATTTAGTTTTCCAGAAGTTGTACTTCCCTAATGATCTTAATTCTGCTTATTTGTGTCTATTATATTCAAAATCAATCTGAATTTTTACCCTATCATCCAAAAAACTCAAAAGCAACTTGAGTAAACTTGAGTAAATGTTTTCTATTCCATCATCCTAGTCATATTCTATGTCTTAATTAGTAACCAGCATTTGTTCAAGCAATTAACAAATCAGAATTAAAGGTGCAGAGAGGGCCTATGAGTTGGTCACACAGGTTGTACAGAGTATTCAGAGATCCTGCATATGGATCAACAGCACAGCTATATATGGTAATGGCAGCTCAAAGAGTTGATCAGCCTGCTGGAAATTTGTGCCAATTTGTAAGCACAAATACCTACTACGTGCCACCTCTATGTTCGATATTAGAGAATCAGGAAATAATTAAGACATTGTTCTTGTTCTCCAGGAGTTGACTACTGACTACATCAAAGGTTTCGCTTAAATCCAGATCATTTATGAGGGAAGACCATAGGAACATCCTTCCCAATGCAAGATTCACAAATGCTACCAACACAGCTGTCTACCTGTAACTGGCCTACATCTGTAATCTTATGGTAGGAAAGAGTATATTAAAAAAGAGCATCCAGAGGCCAGTCTGGTGGCATAGTGGTTGAGTTCATGTGCTCCGCTTCGACGGCCTGGGGTTGGCAGGTTCAAATCCCGGGCGCAGACTGACGCACCACTCATCAAGCCATGCTGTGGCAGGCGTCCCATATGCAGAGTAGAGGAAGATGGGCATGGATGTTGGCTCAGAGCCAATCTTCCTCAGCAAAAAAAAAAAGGAAGATTGGCAACAGATGTTAGCTCAGAGCCAATCTTCCTTACCAAAAAAAAAAAAAAAAATCAGAGCAACCCCCTAGTTAAAGAAATTTCTCCTAGTTTCAATTCTGTAATAGAACAGGTTTTCTTAGTGGCACCAAGAATAAAGAAAAAAAGTGTTGCTTTTTATTACATGTTATAGATCTATACCCAGACCTATCTGTGCTCGGATCATGACATTTTATCATTGCTACCAGATTCTTCATATTGGCTGAGAACAAAATGACAACAGTGTAGGGGGACCTGTTCTTCAATGCGTTGACCACTAACTGATTCCCTGTGATTTCCTAGAAGTTGGCAAAAACAACTTCTCCCGCCCTGATTTACCCCATGACTTTCTTAGGCAGGGTGTTAGAATTTACAGGGACATTTCTTAAAAAGAGAGAAACATATACTAGTTCTTTTCCAGTTTCAAGGCCTCTCATCTCTGACCATTTGGGGACATGTGAAAAAGAAAGCCAGTGGTACACGGTGGCTTCAAACATTCTATAAGCAATGTAGAAAGCAAGTCATATTCCCAAACTCATCAGGCGTTCTCTGACCAGCACCTTCCCAACTGTGGCATGGCTTCTGCTTTCCTATCTCGGATCCACATTCTCTAAAACTGTGGTTAAAAGAAATAAAAGGCTATCATTTTATTATGTAAAATCTGTCAGACAAAAATAAAAAAGAAAGAAAAGGACACGCACGTTTTACCAAACTCTTAAGAAATCTTGTCCTTCTTTTGAAAAACTAGTAAGAAACGGAAATGACTTTTTGTTATTTTTTTATACTGATATTCAGTGGCCAAGAACAAAAACAGAGAGAGAGAGAGAAAAGATAAAACCAGTAACTTCATTGAGCACAAGTTTTGGAATCAAACAAACCTGGGTTCAAATTTCAGCTCCAACACTTACGACCTAAGTGACTGGGTAAATCTGTTAAAATTCTAGCCCCTCAGTTTATAACTGCAACTTGATATTCTCGCCTGCCTCGTAGAACCGCATATTGAAAGAATTCAATTAAACAATGCATGCAAATCACTTATTCTAATGCCTGAATAAATGCTTAAAAATGGAAAATTTTTATTAACTCCCCTACCACAGTATGAAAAATAAAAGACCCTCTGAACTTGTAGAATCTGAGTAAATGTAGCCATCCACACCAGGTGTCTATAAAAGAGAAACTCAACTTTATTCACCAAAGCCTCACTTTCCTCATTCATGGGTATGAAACCTTCTAAATACAGATAAATGGCCTATTATATGGAAGGCTCTTACTAAGTGTTTTATAGGCTTCACCCTCAGGAAACTCACTCGTAGGAGATTATCAGATCCATTCTATGGGAAATTGTCAAAAGTTTTTGTTCAGGACAATGATATTAAGAGGACTGTGTGACTGCACACATGTGTGTATGTCTTTAATGCCACCCTGGGAGTGGGAATGTACAGTGGATTAGAAGGGAAAGAATCAGAAACTAAAAGTGGTGCTATTGTAGCTTTGCGGCAATAATCTACACGAGTGTCTCCCAAACCTAACTGCACATCTGAATTCAGCATGGTGAACTTTTCAAAAATGCAGACTCCTGGGTTCCTCTTTTATATCCACCAAATCAGAATCTCGGGATCTGTATTTTAAACAACTCTCTAACTGGTTCTCATGCAGCCATGCTGACACCTAATTTAAAAGCCAAAAGCCTAAAGAGGAACTAGGGGATGGAAAGGAACGTATTCTCAGGAGAGAATACAGGAAGAGAATGTACAGAATTTTTTCTCTTGATTCAACCAAGCAGCTCTATCAGGTCTTACATCTTACTGTCGGTAAATCAATGTCCAACCCAAGGCTGGGGCCTCATTGTAAGGAAACGAGATGAATACACAGCAATATCGCACCAATGACCACAGTTACTCCAACCTACATCACCCTGAAGGTAGCAAGACAAGCAACCCCAAAATATGCCACTTTAGTATTTTGATTATTTTGAGCTGAAAGCATCTGAAAAACAACAAATGCAGGGAGAGGCTTTCTCTGAACACCCCTAATCTGCCTAAAGACAGGTCCTCCAAAAGGAACTCGATTGTCATAAGTCCTTTCCCTGGGAGTTTCATCAACCAGGGAAAACCGACTCTTGTCACAGAAGAGGAGGCTAGAAGTCAACACCACACTCAGACAGACTTGGTTACAGACTATCATACCTCCCATCTATTCTTCTGAAGGCCCATTCATCTTTTCTAAAAATCCTTTCCTCTCCCCTAAGAGGTCTATATCCCCTCTCCTCTTTCCGCATTAAAATGGTATTTGATCTTGAATTCTAAGCCACCTCAAGGAGTTACTCATTTTTCCCTGGTTATCTCCCATGTACACATGAGGTATATATGTTAATAAACTTCTGTTTTTCCCTTGTTAATCTATCTTTTATTACAGAGGTCTCAGCTAGGAACTCAGAAGGGAAGAGAGAAAATTATTTTTCTTCCCCTACAACTCCATGGAATTTTTTTCTCTTCCTGGTCCACAGCTTCTATAGGCTATAAATTACAAAGCTTTTCCATCCAAGAAACCAACCTACAATATGATTTGCAAGTCAAAGCAGCTGGCTCCCTTAAGTGGTAGTTGTAGAAACTAATCGCAGTTAGTTTTAATCTTTCTCAAGGCTTTTTCATCTATCTTCTTCTCACTTTAAGCCATCTAATCCATATCCACTTTTGTTAGTACAGGGTTACTGTAGTGAAACGGCCCTCCACCCCCCCCAACAAGTAACCAGGAAATAAGATAATCCTACGACCTCAGGGATTCAGCAGATGAAGTACATAAGTAAAGGGGTACAGATGTAAGATGTTCTTGTATTCCAACACTATCATTTTGGGTTTCCAGTGGTGGAACTGGCACTTACCCTCTGTGGTCAGGGGACAGGAGACAAGGAGGTGGTAGGGACTCTAGCAAGTTAAAACTGCAGATGCCCTATGGCAGGCCATTCATTACCATGAGATGATTCTAAGGGGGTGTAGCCTATGGACCTTAAGTACTTCTCACCTGACAGGCAAGAGCCTCCTCTGGTGAGATAGAGGCACCATCTATTTAGCCAAATAGTGTAAGATAACTGATTCATCTAACCTCATTAACTTCTCTGTTCAGATCCCATGTTTAACACGCAATCTTCTGGTCATATTTGGGCATTGACCGTGCCAACACAAGTAATCTGGACTGCAGGACAATTATATTCCCATTGCCAATGAGTAAGCAGAACTGCTGGTTTTAGACATCATCCTCTTAAACTAGT